GAAATTTGAATGAGGGTTTTCTAAAATGTTTTCTGCGAGATGGCAGCTCTGCAGCGTCAGGTCTGGTCAGGTCCAACCACCTGTCAAAACACATACACGATTAATATTTCGGTTTTTTTTATTTATTTATTCTTAAGGGTAACAATTGAAATTTCGGTTACATGAGCGCAACCAGCACTGCCAAAATGTTGTGCAAAGATAAACATAGGCACTTTTTTGAGCTGAATCCTCATTTTGGCAACATTTCTTTGGTACCTGATGATGAGGAATCAGCGCCGCTCAAGGACACCGGCCACACAGAGGATTTACAAGTACGCTATTGGATTTGAGGATTGGGTGACTTTTGGATTGGGGGTGGGACGAATGATTGGGGCTCCAGAAAAATACAATGACAACATAATGTGTAATAAAATGTGGTCGTGGTATTAATCCAGGTCAGTCAGAACTATGGCTACCTCACACTTAAAATCATCCTGTCTTTCTAACATATGCACTTCTACCCACTATCCAGAAAACTGAAATACATAGTTACTAAAAGCGTAAAAAGATTAAAAATAAATACAAAACTCTATTTTACTAAAAGCTCATACAATAACAGACGTGATACTTATCATAAATATTCTTTATAATGGTCAATAATATCGGTAGTTTGGCCATGACTTATCATAATAGTTATTTAGTATTTCAAGTTCAAACGAGTAATTTTTTAAAGCGTCATATATATTTTTTGTGGCACCACTCACACGGTAAATGGTTTTTTAATAGTTTTGATATACTTTTACTTTCTAGTGTTAGTTGTGGTCATTTTGGTACAAGGAAGAAAAGTTGGTAAGTATGGAAGGATAGATAGATATTCGTATGTATGTTTATTACTCTTTTACGTAAAAAATATTGAACAGATCTGAATGAGTAAGTATGTAGCAATGATAATTTGGTTAAATCTGGAATATTTTACACTTTGGGGAGCGAGGGCGCCCCCTGGCCAGAACCAGACCCGACAGTAAGGCACGTATAACGCACGCGTCTCAAAGAGTCAACAGACCACCACAGATGGAGCCTAAGAAGGCTGAGGTTCAGCCCGGTTTACGGGGAAGCAGAAGAAGAATCGGGATGCTTTTTTAGTCAGTAAGAGTCTGACACCATCTTAATTGACCCACAACAAGTGATGCGATAAGTTTTCATCGTCATGGTTAGAATATGTGGCTACTATCTCATTTAATTTAGATGCATGTTGGCCGACTTTTATGTGCAAAATCTTGTATTGCAAATTGTTTAGTCAATCAAACTTATTCAATACGCTAACTTACACAAACGCTTCACATTTTGTTTCTGTTGTAATCACTTGTACATACTTATAATGACTTACATACATACCAGCGTATTTATATACATATTGTGGTTTATAGATAAATCTTTAAATCGCCAGTCTATTGCTGAATTTGGCTAATGATGTCATGGTCAATGTAATTCAACGGACTAATTACATTATATATACATGTTCTGTAGAGAGAGAAAGCTTCAATGACTTCGGCTATGGACCTCCTCGACATAATAGAGGTTTTTTTTTGAGATGGCAAATTCATCCAATGACTTCTCCCGCCCTGGGTGAGTACCAGTTTAAGCTGATCCGTCGTATACGCAGATTACAGAATATTTTTTTATGTGATATGTCTGCAAACGATCAAACGGATTACCTGGTGGTCAGTATGTCACTCATGGAGCTACGAGTGCGTTGCCAGCCTCTTGGGGACAAATGTTTCGGAGACTGGGGCTTGGGAAGGAAAGGTATGGGGAAGTTGAAGGAATAGTCTATGGCTGCGGCTGTGGTGGTTCCACATCGATATAATGAAATGAGCAGCTTATGAAAGAGCGCACTGCCAATTAACTTAGAAAGCTCTTACGGCAGCCGGGAATGGAGAAGGTGTTGACAAAATGTACTCCGGGCTGCTGTCTACACTAAAGTATATCTTGACATGTGGTTTAGATGACAAGATATTCATTGAGGTATTTCAAGTGGATGCAAAAAATATTTCTTAATTATCGATAAAGTGCAGTTGCTTCTGAAATGTCAAAATAAAGATATTTTGCAACGGACATTCGTTTGACCCCGAGTATCGTTTGGTATATTTGCAGCTCTGAACTTAAGCCGTGCCTTAATTGAATAGATAATGTAACTGTTAAGCATGAGGAACTGAACTTGTTCCTTAGTTAGGGCAATATTTTTTACTTTTATTTCTCTATTCGATAACAACGTCGATGACCTTTACCTTCGACGTCTATTGCTTTCCAAAAACATTTTAAATAAATAAATTCAGCTTTTTATACAACGAAAAATATTTTTACATTCTTCTTCTACGGTCATTAAAAAAAGTCAAACTAGAAAGTCCGCCAGTCTGTCTACCAGTAGCGCTAAATAGAGTAGGTACTTATAACACGGTAGCTCATATAAAATACATATCTATAATACAATAGGTACATAAGAATGTATAAATACTTTATAAAACATTTACTACGCATTGAATCGTAGGCATTTGTAGAAAAGTGACGGTGAAGCAGGCTGAACCAGCGGACATCCGCTCGGCATAGTCTGGCTCTGGCACACTTGATACGAATGAAGTACGGACGCGATACGCGAACATTCTTCTGCAACTACGTGGATACTTGCAACCCTATACGGTGAGCACTGGAATACCTATTTGCTTTTCAATTCTTGCGGTTGTTTGTTATGTTGTAACACAATGAGTTTTAAAACAACAAGCTTAATAAGCAACGAACGGATCACGGATCAGGAAAGGTCAAACCAAGTGTCGTGACCTTATTTTTATTATGTATAGCAGAAGATAAAATAAGCTGGTCATTCGGTACATTGATAATGATTTTCGACTGCTGCAGCGCAACGTGTCGCGGATTCTATTTCCGCACGAAATATTTTTTTTTTGTGTTTTTGTATGTTATAGCTTGGCAAACGAGTAGACGGATTACCTGATGGTAAGTACCATACATACATAAGTAGTAGGAATACTACAATTGCATTGTCAGCCTCTTGCGTGTTATTAGGGATTTAAGGATAGGAGATTTGAGGATTGAGGATGGGGGAGGGGAGAAGAATTGATCTTCCGGTAATCTCATTCACACGGCGAAACACAACGTGATCCACAAATTGTTATTTCACGTCTGGGTCATGTGTATGTAAAATTTTATGTTTGTAAGCGCACTAACGACACAGTAGAAAACTCTAGTGTGAGGCAACGTTATTAAAAAAAACCATTAATTAGTAGTAACTTGTATTTGTTTTTGGGTAGAGAATGTTATGTATAGATTTTCTCTCTACTCTTCATTGATTAAACTCTTGCCTTCTAATCTTTATAATATTACTCATTTTACTAATACATTTTTCCTGCCAGAATAGCCTTCCTCTATGCACTATTCACACAAAAAGATGTGCCTTACACTTACGTCATCAATATTATACTTTCAAATGTGCCATTAACCTCAAGTTCATTATATTAGCAAAGTGCTAATATTACTAATCAATGAATGAACTTTACTAATATCAATTCCAAAATACTAAAATACCAAGTTTATGTACATAATCTTAATATATTATTGGTGGTACGTAATTCGTGTGCATGCCGCGATATTTCTGCAAACTAAATATTAATTAGCCTGGATTGCTTCATAAAATAAATATTACTTAAATGTGAGGAATTTGGTTTGTGGTATTTTTTACTTAGCTAGGAAGGTGATGGTTTTACGAAATTAGTTTTTACGTAAGAGGGTTTAAGACACCCTAGTACTTGGATATATTATATGGAGTTTTTATTTGTGACTATACATCATGAGTAAAGCCCAGGGTAGTGTGCTGCTAGGTTAGTATGGGATTTTAACCTTACTAAAATTACCCTTGTGTAGCGACTATCGCCAACTATAAACAATCAGAACTGGTATATTCAGTTCCAAGTTTCTCTTAATCAACCAATTCTGAAGTCCCATTTTTTGGAACATCATCAATTAGCTTCAGTCTCCCAGGGTGAAGGCGAGAGGAAGTGTCAAACTCTTACAGACAATTGTGACAGTCCAGATTATTGAACTTGACTCCGGCTGATTCCGAAGCTCCCTCCAACGCCTTTTATAACACATCTCTAGATTTAAACAGGAACCAATTTTCCCATAACGTATAAATGAAAGTATGAATGATCAAAAAACGATGTATTCCATAGATAATGATCTCCACTAGATCAGCGGATTATAATTCATCTACCTAAAGAAATATCTATAAAAACTTAAAAAAATATATAAAATAATGTAAACGTGAATATTTATTTATACATGTTTGCAACACAAAAGAAGATAAATTTGTACGAATATCGAAATATTTCGTAAACTGGTAAGTGCAAAGTTGAGTTATTTTCATATTTATTAAAGAGTACCCCTAGAGCTCTGTATTCATGAATAAATCAACTTGGCGTTATCAATAATGTTTCATAACTATTGAACCTTGTTTTATACACACATTTTGTTAAGATTTTTAATTAGCTTATTATTTATATTCGTTTATGTGCATGCTCATATATGCACTGTATTTCCCGGATGATACTTTGTAGAGAAAAAATGTTTATTTGTTTTTCTTTTTTTTAAAGTAGGTGCCTTATAAGTTCAATCCATTCACATTATTGGAGTATTGAAAGAACAATTTGCCACTATAAAGTGCAAAACATCTTCATTCATGATAAGGATTCTGTGTAGTAATTATCGTAATATAACGATTCATCGTTAACCAGGCAATATAACGATTCATCGTTGGCAATGACAATGGCTTACATATTTTTATTATTAAAAATATGCTTCATCGTTACCAAATTTGGATTTTGTTTGCGAGGAAGAATTAATATTTTTCTCTGTTATTGTAATTCCATATCTCGGTACCTATCATATATACATATGTAAAATAAAATGATTATTCATGAAAATGGACAACAACATAGGAGAAAATTCTAGAGTGTTCAGTTCCAGGCCAACAAAAAAAATCAAACACAGTTATACGAAACAAAATATATTGGCTACGTCATGGCAGTGGTGTTTGTACTAGCTTGGTTCATTCTGAATGAAGCTTAACCGAGCTTGGGGGGAGCGGACTTCACGACCTCAGCTGGTGGGGGGTGAGCTGCTATGTACTCCAAGCTGCGGAGGATGGCTGCGGGGATTTCGGGAGGAACGGGCAAATGGCTTCCCTGTGGAAAGAAAGATAGAAAAAATAAGATATTATCAATGTTTTTAAACTTGATAAAAATAATCTACTCATTTTAGAAAATCTACATAGCTCTGGTAATAATATATTTCAAATTATGTTGGTTACAGGTAATTCTCTTACTTAAGATGTTTTTGGGGGCTATAAATCGATCTAGCTAGAATTCATCTCAAGAAAATTATAAAAAAATACTGAGCAAGGCTCAGGTTCTGTTCCTTTACTTTAACAAAACTTTACTAAGTTGTTTTTATTTTGCAGCTCAATAACTGCGTATTCCTTAATATGAGTAAGTTCATAATTATGCTGTATGTTGACTATTACTTTCTTTTTAGTTTTACATTGGGCTTAAATCAATTTAAAAATACTACTACTAAATAATCAATTTAAATAATAAAATCAATTTAAATGTAGGGATAAAAAAATAAATCTTACCTGGGGTTGGTAACCGTTCTCGTCAGCAGTGAAGGTCAGTTCGATGGGCTGGCCCTCGGGGGAGGTGTATTTGTAGCCACCGCTCACTGCCAAGTAGGGGTATTCCTGGACATTGCAGAAAAATACGTGTGAAGTAGGAGAAAATCTATAGTGTATACTTATGTGTATGTAAGGTTTTGGATGATGAAAAATTGTTATTTCGAAATATCAATCAAATTTCACCTTACTAGAATTCAAAATGTTCCGTATCATTTATCTAAACATACTGAAACTTATTAAAACTATAATTTACTATCAAAGTTAATTAGAGTAGAGACTTTAACTTATAGGTACAATACGTAAATATATAATCTCAAAACACAAGTCATGCACCACGTGGTAAGAACGTGATACAACACTGGTTTCCATCAATATATTTACTGGGGACAAGGTCTTTTTAGCTTTTATTTAACGATCAATATAATTTAAATATATTCACAGTATTCCTTGCATTAATTTAACATATAGTTAACATATATTTCAACCTTGACACAAAGATCAAATGATCATCGTCATCTTTGTCTAGACGAAGGCGTAATCCCTTCACAGACAAGGCTAAAGTGATGTACTGTTACAATTATGAATGATCATCTAATTTACATTGGCTCAGTCATCAACAATTTGATTACAAGTAACACTTTAATTTGATACGGTTGCAAGTTGTTAACGTTGACAGCTACAATCGCTATGTACTCATTCTGTTGTTATGAAAAGTTCACGCGAATTATAAAACTATGTGCAAGTGTTCGAGTGACTGAAGTGTATTTATTTATGGAGTCTTAAAGCTTACTTAATAAACAACAAGTACAATGTTACCAATACTTTAAGAAGTAAACGCTCAATATAAATATGATATCTAATGTTGAAAATTAATTGGTCCGATCTAACTAGCATAATGTATATCGTAATGAAAGTCTAAAACCTACTGGATCATGGAACAGATAAAGATTTTGACTGCCTGTAAACCTTTAATACCATACATTTTTTGACTGAGTGAGAAGATGTGGTCTATAGGTATAACAGACTAGCTACTCTCATGCGGTTTCACCCGCTGCTCGGCTCAATTTGATCGTAGCGTGATGTTTTATAGCCTATAGCACTCAGAAACATTGTAGCTATCTATCATTGAAAGAATTTTGGTAATCCGACTAGCTGTTCCAAAGATTACCCCCTACATACAAACTTATAAACTTACAAATTTTACCTCTTTATAATATTAGTATAGATGACAATAGAATTACGTACAAAAAAGTTTCTAGTGTATCAAACACTAGAAACTTTACTAAGTTTAAAGCTTCTACAAGTTTACCTCGAGAAGATTGACCAAGCTTATGAAATCTTTACCATTATAGGCAAACAAAAAATTCTTGGATAATAACAGCACTTACCGAGTTAGCGTTCTTCAGCACACCAGCGCTCTGGCCATAGATTCCATTGCCAGTTTCGTAAGAGTACTTGTACTCTCCTTGAGGTTCGATGTCGTAGGAAGACGACACGATGGGAGCGTGGAACTCATCCTTGACGACGTGGGACACGTCAGCGCTGGCGTAAGCCACGGCTACGGCGAGAACTACTAGGAATTTCTGGAACAAAATTGACGTAAGTTGGTGGTCTACTTGTACTTTTGATGGTATTAGAAAAGCCATTATTCAAACGTAAAAGAAAAGGTTATAAATCGACAAACTGGTATCATAAATTAATAAAATTATTTCATCACCATACAGGTGGCTCTTGGTTTTTAAAAATCACCATATCTTGCAATAAACTGAATCTAAATAATAGACCACTTTTAGTTTTAGTTTAATATTAAAGCAATAAAAGCACTACTTACCATTTTGCTAGTGGGACCAACTTTTTGTTTCGATCTGATTAAAAAATTCTAAAACCGTCTTTATATACTAAACGTCCAGAATAGGAATGAGATGGTTTATTTCTTTTTTAAAACAGCTATTGGTCAAAGATTATAAATGTGATGCAGATTATTCGTTTATGCATTAAGAGATGCATAATTTTTCGATCATGTGTCAACATAATGTTGAATATTAATCAATCTGTGATCTACACTAACCTTTCTTTAGAAGTTTTTGTATCAACTCTATTGTCCCTTTTTAAACGTACTGACTATGGCCCTAATTCATATCGTAGACGGCTTTTGGGACATGGTTCATTATATGTATATTTTACTAAAGAGTTCTATTAAATGTTACTAGATATTAGGAAGCGTTTGCAATATTTCAAAACAAAATATTGGTTGGTGTGCCCCTTAAAAGTAATTTTGGATTTTAAACTAATATTTTCAGTTATTTTGTTTAATTGAGGCTAGCTCTCCTAATTTTCTAAACTCACCTAATTACTCTATAGTATTTTCCACCAATTTATTGAAAAAGAAATGAACTACCGTTCAGCATTGAGGAGTTCTGAAGTTTACCTTGAAAAGGTCACACCTCATTTTCTTTGTAGAAGGCATTAAACAATTTGAAACATTTCAATCTCGTAGAGATATCATAAGTTAAATATAAGAACAACATTTAATAATTATCTTACATCCCTGAACGTTTTGAAAATCTGCTACTTTTTCAAAGTCAGAGTACCTGCAATGAACAAAATTGAAATGAATTGAGACATATTTTCAAGTAGATAAGGTAAATACGTCTACTTATACCTATATGTATACTTTATTAAAAAAAAGCCGCATACTTTTTACTACTTATCCAACATTTATTTCAAAATATGCACATGCATGATGGAGAGAAACTTTTTTTTTGTGCACAAATAAAGCTTTGAACTAAGCTAAATATTATATTTAATTTTGTAACATTAAAATTAGCATTCGATATAAATTACTACAACCACATCTAATTGATAAGAAAGGCATAGTCGATTGGAAAATTATGCATAAAACTGGATAGAGGTTTTTTACTACTGTAGAAAATTGAATTAATTATATGAATAATACGGAAGTAGAAATACATGCTACAAGTTCCTTCACCTGTTGTACAAAGTTCAAATAGTTCTAAGTGTGGGAGAGCCATGCTTAGGCACGAATGAGTCGGCTCGACCGGAGTGATACCACGGCCTCACAGAAAACCAGCGTGAAACAATAACAGCGTTGTGTTTCGCCGTGTGAGTGAGGTTACCGGAGGCCCAATCCTTCCCCTCCCCCAATCCCTCCTTAATCCCTGAATCTCCAATTTAGGGAATCCCTAAAAGGTCGGCAACGCACTCGTAACTCCTCCGTTGCCGGTGTCCATGGGCGCCGCTGATTGCTTACCATCAGGCAATCCGTCTGCTCGTTTGCCGACCTATTAAATAAAAAAAAATAGAAATAATAATACTTATAATTTGGTTTGAAAGAAGAGGTGAGAAAGAAAATATACTCATATTTAGAAGTGTTATTTGTTCTCCTTGTTTGATTTAGGCCGTGAATTGTGTAATTACTATAGGTACCTAGTTTTATACAAACAGTAAGCTTGGACAGAAGGCAAACGAACAAAATGATCACCTGGTTGTAAGAATTGACATCACCCATGAACATCTTCAACACCACTACATTTCTGAATACCTGTATCCTCTGATACTGATGAAAAAGACTCACCTTTTTCTTGTTATTTTCTTAAATTGCGGGTGGTTTTGGTTATCAATTATTTTTAATCTAATATCCTAAACAAGTAAATCTTGTATTTAAATTTAATATCGGAAATAAGTCCATCTATTTTCATAAAATATTGTTTGGCGATAAATTGATTTACCTCGGATTTATTTTAATTTATTGATTTTCAATTTAATTGATAAGAATTTTAAAACTACATAGTAGATGCTGTCTAATAACCGTAGTATCTAGATAACAAATGATAAAATTATAAATATTTGTTAAACCAACACATGTAACATTAAAAAATATTTTTTTCTTTTTTAAATATTTATAAGAATCTTACAAATCATTAAATATTTACATTTATTAGTTTTAACGAAAGAAAAAGTGGAAGTTCAGATGCAAAACTCTACTAGTTACCAAAAAAGAAGTAAGTATCGTAATGTAAAATTATTGCCAGAAACAGATGCCTAATTAACAAAATATTGAAGAAGAATCTTTTTACATAAATGAAGCGCGAATTTTTTTCGATAGTTAAAATTGTCTACCATATTTTATTTCAAATACATGTCGTGATGATATTGTACTTACGTCACTCCTAAATTTATTGGTTTATGTAATTTATTATTTTTAATATACTTTCTTAATAAAAAATCTTCATTAAAAATCTAACTATAACAGATGATATTGATATTTCATTATCATACTCTGTTATCCTAGTCAAAACTGTTTATAAGTACGTGAATGTATGTTAACTCATACACATAGAATCTTCATTTCCATAAACATCATACATACACACCAAACCCCAATAAAGAAAAAAAACCAAACGCCTACCTAAAAAGCTTAGGCAAAATAGTACAAGAAATATAGAATGCCGCATCTAATCACATTAGATGCATAATCAGCGGCCACGAATGTGATATTATTATCACGGATGATATTTACCTAAATGTATGCTAGATGAGTAGGTGAACTTTAGACAGAAATATACCTGTTGTTCAAGGCTACCTATCTTCGATGTTTTTATTTCAACTTTGTCAGGTGCAACTTATATGAGGGCCCATAAAATGTGTAATAAAATCGCTAACAAATATTATGAAGACAATCAAATATACTTATTGTTTTTTTCTAGTTTATAAAAAAACATTTTGAGTATTTCAGTTATTAGTTCTAGGCTTATTTTATTTTATACTTCTTCCTTGTACATTGAAAATAACCGAAAGACCATATCAACCAAGAAAATAGTCACAATTAATGTGAGCACATTTGATGGTCATCGGTGTCTATTCGAAATGTCAAGTATGATTGCAATTGCAACGGGATTCGTTAATTAAATAGATGGATTCATGTCATTGGCCTCCGAAATTATTCTTTAAAAAATCAAGTACTTAAGTATGTACTTGTGTGATCTGCGTAGGTAAAAAATATTAATATTTAAGAAAAGGAAAAAAATAAACTGCAATATAAATTTAAATGCTGTCTGGTAATTTTTATTTCTTCTTTTTGTCGTTTTATATTTTTTATATTCTATGTTTCAAAAATAAGCTGCTTACGTACCTACTACCTAATTTTAGCAGTTTATGGTTTGTGGTGAGTCGACATTTTTTTTCTTTAAACCAACGTTGTCCCACACAATTTTTTTCTCCCGTGTCCTGTGTTCACAAAAATACTATTTCACAAACATCACACCCAGATATTGGTACCTATAAGTAGAGAAAAGTATTACATAATAAAAAGGAAATAAAATTTCAATGGTCTTTATTAAAAAAAACCATTTGGAAGCCTTAGCACATTTGTCAAACTCGCTATTGATTAGAACCAGCCAGTAATTAAAAAAAAATATTCATATACTTACATTAATTTGATAGGTGCATTATAAATGTTTATGCATGAACTACAGATCAGTCTAGTTTTCCGACTTAAGCTTTGTACTCACTGAGGATATTTAAAATATAATTCGGTTTGAAATTATTACTATCAATGGCAAAACGGGGGTTGCGATCGCAGTAATGTATCGTGGCCCTAGCAGATGAAGGAACGGGGTGGAGTAAGAACCTAAGGTCTGATTCTCCCTCTCGCCTCCGGTCGAGCTGACCCATTCTTGCCGCAGCTTTGCTCCCCTACACTTAGTGCACCTGTAACACAAGAGGCATGGCGAGTGTTACCGTTTTGAGGAAGGTGAGATGAGAAGGTGTACTAGACTGACTAATAGCCCCCTTCCCCCTCCCGATGCGACTCCTGCTCAGATCGCAGCTCTGATGGGCCGTGTGCAGAGCGTGGTTCTTTAACAGCGCTCGCAAAACGGGACTTTTCGTACTCTTGGGTCTGTTGTCCCTCTTCGGGCAACGAGTTCCCCTTAACGAGTTCTAACCTACCATGTAGGGAATTAATTAATTGCCTCCTCAAAAATTATGCCTGTTCAAATGTTCCTTATTATGTAGTTTGTTGAGCACATGGTGATGGTGAGCACATGGTCTAAGATGTAATAAAGTTATATCAAATGTATTTATTGCAAGCAACACCAGGTATAAAAGTGAAAATCCTAAAGAGAATAATCGAAGCAAATCTCAAATTCATCCTTCATCTTTTAACAATAACGATCACATTTGCATAACTTTTGCACGTCTAAGAATGCCATGTTACGATTCATTGAAAATCGGTAGTGAATACAAAGCCTTAGTAATATTGAAACTGGAGCTCTAAAGTCAATGTCTACCAAAATGTAACCTAACAACCGACTTATTTTGAAGAAGATGACATCAGCCGCATGAATACAAAATGTTCTGGACGAGCACGGAATACCTAAATGAAGATCAACAAATAATTTTATGTATACTGAAGTTTATTACACGAGCCTTTTACTAATTCCGTCTGTCATCGTCTATTCTGAATTGGTATTACCCAGTCTTATTGTTGTGGGGAATAATTCCCACACTACGTGGCATAGTTATGTGTAATAATATTGTCAAGCGTAACTCTTGCTTCGGACTTTCAATTATGTTTCGATAGTGTTTTGTTTATAAATGCGTCTATTTATGACTTTGAACGAACTAGAAAAGCATAATTTTCATATGACAAGGCCAATAGAAATGTGAGATCGATTGTATTCCTCATCATCTTCCTGCCCTTGTCCCGTTTTATTTGGGGTCGGCCCAATATGGTTTTTTCTTCCATTCTGTCCTGTCACTCGTCACGCTATCGCTAACTCCTCTGTCTTCCATATCACTTCTCACACAATCCATCCATATTTTCTTTGGTCTCCCTCTCCATCTCCATCCATCCACATTTATACTCGTGGTTTTTTTTGTGGCATTGATATCGATTGTATTCCTATTACCCAATAATAATAATAA